CACACACGAGCACACACACACCACTCAGGGGCTCGCACAAACGAGTACACAACACGGTATGGTTCACAGGGAGTCTGTGTCTACCAGCGTAAATACGCTGACATTTGGATCCCTATTTTAGACAGAATATTTTTGATGGGAGGGGAAACAGGTGACAAGCAGCCTTAATGATCCTCGTGTAGTCGACAGGCTTTAAACCCCAAGATCCAATTACCACACGAACACGAACACGAACATACTCATGCACGCACTCACGCATGCACTCACGCACGCACTCAAGCACGCACTCACGCACGCACTTACGCACGCACTCACGCGCGCACTCACGCCTACGGGAAGGCATGACCGGACTGTACATTCTCGCGCTGGACGAAGCATTTGCTGCTGTAACTTACAAGAGGCCCAGTTGAAAACTGGAAGAACAGGCAGAGGCAGCAGGGTAGACAGTATGGTGGTAGGAGGCAGGGGTAGCAGGGTAGACCGTATGGTTGGTAGGAAGCAGGGGTAGCAGGGAAGACAGTTATGGTGGGAGGATGCCAGGGTAGCAGGGTAGGCAGTATGGTGGTAAGAAAGCAGCGGGTAGCAGGGTAGACAGTATGGTGGTAAGAAGCAGGGGTAGCAGGGTAGACAGTATGGTGGTAGGAAGCAGGGGTAGCAGGGTAGACAGTATGGTGGTAGGAAGCCGGGGTAGCAGGGTAGACCACAGGATGGTGGTAAGAAGCAGGGGTAGCCAGGGTAGGAACGTATGGTGGTAGGAAAGCAGGGGTAGCAGGGTAGACAGTATGGTGGTAAGAAGCAGGGGTAAGCGGGTACGACAGTATTGTGGTAAGAAGCAGGGTAGCAGGGTAGACAGTTATGGTGGTAGAAGCAGGCCCGGTAGCAGGGTAGATCAGTATGGTGGTAGGAAGCAGGGGGTAGCAGGGTAGGCCAGTATATCGTGGAAGGCAGGGGTCGCAGGGTAGAACGTATGGTGGTAAGAAGGCAGGGGTAGCCAGGGGGGGGTTAAGACAGTATGTGGTAGGAAGCAGGGGTAGCAGGGTAGACAGTATGGTGGTATGAAGCAGGGGTAGCTATGGTAGACGTATTGTGGTAGGAAGCAGGGGTAGGCAGGGGAGACAGTATGGTGTAGAGACGCAGGGGTAGCAGGGTAGACAGTATGGTGGTAGGAAGCAGGGGTAGCAGGGTAGACAGTATGGTGGTAAGAAGCAGGGGTAGCAGGGTAGACAGTATGGTGGTAAGAAGCAGGGGTAGCAGGGTAGACAGTATGGTGGTAGGAAGCAGGGGTAGCAGGGTAGACAGTATGGTGGTAGGAAGCAGGGGTAGAGGAGTAGAGAGTATGGTGGTTAAGAAGCAGGGGTAGCAGGGTAGACAGTATGTGGCAGAAGAGGGGGTAGCAGGGTAGAGAGTTGGGGGTAAGAAGCAGGGGTAGCCGGGTAGAGCGCTAGGGGTAAGAAGCTGGGGTAGCAGGGTAGACAGTTGGTGGCAAGAAGCAAATTTGCGGTAAGAGGGGTTAGAGAGTATGGGGGTAAGAAGCAGGGGTAGCAGGGTAGAGAGTATGGGGGTAAGAAGCAGGGGTAGCAGGGTAGACAGTATGGTGGTAAGAAGCAGGGGTAGCAGGGTAGACAGTATGGTGGCAAGAAGCAGGGGTAGCAGGGTAGAGAGTCTGGGGGTAGAAAGCAGCGGTAGCAGGGTAGAGAGTATGGGGGCATGAAGCAGGCGGTAGCAGGGTGACAGTATGGTGGCAAGAAGCAGGGGTAGCAGGGTAGGACAGTATGGTGGTAAGAAGCAGGGTAGCAAGGTAGACAGTATGGTGGTAAGTAGCAGGGGTAGCAGGGTAGACAGTATGGTGGTAAGAAGCGAGGGTAGCAGCGGTGGACAGTATGGTGGTAAGAACGCAGGGGAAGCAGGGTAGAGAGTCATGGGGGTAGAAGCAGGGGTAGCGGGTAGACTGGATATGTGGTAAGAATGCTGGGGTAGCAGGTAGACAGTTTGTTGGTCAGAAGCAGGCGGTACAGGGTAGACAGTATGGTGGCAAGAAGCGGGGTAGCAGGGTAGAGAGTATGGGGGTAGAAGCAGGGTAGCAGGGTAGAGAGTATGGGGGTAAGAAGCGGGGTAGCAGGGTAGACATATGGTGGCAGACAGCAGGGGGTTAGCAGGGGTACAGTGAGTATAGTGGTAGAAGCAGGAGTAGCAGGGTAGACAGTATGGGGTAGTAGCAGGGGTAGCAGGGTAGGACAGTATAGTGGCAAGAAGGCAGGGGTTAGCAGGGTGACAAGTAAGGTGGTAGAAACAGGGGCGCAGGGTAGACAGTTGGTGGTTAGAAGCAGAGTAGCAGGGTAGACAGTTGTGGTAAAAACAGGGGCAGAGGGTAGACAGTTTGGGGTAAGAAGCGGGGTAGCGGGTAGACAGAATGGTGGTAGAACAGAGGTAGCAGGGTAGACAGTATTGTGGATAAGAGGAGGGGTAAGCAGGGGTAGGACAGTATGGTGGTAAGATGCAGAGGTAGCAGGCGTAGCCTAGTATGTAGTAGCAAGCAGGGGTTGCAGGGTCAGACAGTATGGTGGGTAGCAACAGGGGTAGCAGGGTAGCAGTATGGTGTTAGAAT